GTACAGTACGGTACTGGAGTGTCAGCCTTGACTACGAGCTCAGTCAGGTATGTCAGGTAACTGAAAAAGACAAATATCTTAGCTCAAAGGTTGGAAATTGAGCGACTTGAGTAATTTGATCTAAGAATAAAACAACTTGAGTTTTGCTGGCAATCCACTTTGCACCAATTGATGCTCATTGAATACATTCACAGGGTGAAAAATAAGGCTCCTTTTCAGTAAAAATAACTTGGCCTCATTCTTAGAGCTGGCCTCTTTCTGTTTCTTTTTAAATGTCATACCGTTTCCCTGATGACATTCCTGGAGTTTTTCACCTGTAAAACACACAGTGCAATGCCAGCCAAGTGGAGCAGGGATACATTGCTCCATATTAAGATTGTCCTGGTAGGCTTTCCTGAGAGAAACAGTTGATTTGTTTTAGACATCTGAAAGCATTTTCAGAGAGATATTATAAAACTGATTAAGAATTAATTATTAAATTACCATAAATTTAATTTCAGGTGTTAATGAATAGTCAACAGGTTATTAGTATTATTAATAAACTAATAATACTTGCATTTGATATATTTCATGTCTGGAGGGTGTCTCAAAGCGCTTCACAGGTTAGACTGTAAAGTGTATTGTGGCAGCCAGTTTGGCACAGCAATGTCCCACAAATAGTCATGAAGTGAAGTTTTTTTTTATCTGGAAGATTGTTGGCCAGGATAGTGGAGAAACTCCTTTCTCTTTTCAAATAGCCATCATGTACTCAGATACTGGGAACTAAAATCAGTTACGATGGTATAAAATAATAATAATAATAATAAGGTGGGAGAGGGTCAGGCTCCTGTACATCCACATCCATTTTTGATGTGATTAATATTGAATTCGGAGGGAAGGGGACGAGGTCGACAATAGCGTACTTCGAAGTTCTTTTAAATTAGATGAGGGATTTAAGGGCCGATTCTCAATAGGGAGGCAGGTCTCCTTCCAACTAATGTCATCATTAATTTTAAAGTGGGTTGTTCCCAGAGCCTTTCACCAGAGAATGGGACTTAGTCCGTGTCCTCTCACACTACCTGTTAGCAAGAATCGCGTATCCTAACCCTAAACTAAACTCCTCCGATGGCCTCTCAACTTCACCATCCTCATAAAAATACAAAATCCAGATTGTTTGCAATCCACTGGGAGCATTCCTGACATTGTAACAATAATGTCCCGTCAGGTGTGTTCCTGGCTCACGAATACAAGGATTTTAAAAATTATTAACTTACATTAAGTTTCTCAATTCCAGACAAAGGGAAATTTCCACCTGTAGCTGGTTTGGTGTAAGGATGTAAGTATTTCCACTTGTCAGACATCCTGATGACCCCCCCCCCAAAAATACATCAAATTACATGACAGGGATTTCTCTGTCAGTGTCAAATGACTGTCATTCGTTTCGGGGTGTTTAATTTTAGCCTGCTTCCAGCTGGCATCTCCCTACCTCTCCGACCTGCTTACCCCTCCAACCCACAATTCGCTGCCTGCACTTGACTGGCTCCAGCCTCCTGCGTGTCCCCCGTGCTCTCTGTTCCACCATTGGTAGCCGCACTTCCAGCCACTATGCCCCGAAACTCTGGGATATTCTTCCTCTATCCCTCCGCTTTGCCCGTTCCTTCCCTTTTTCAGGTCACGCCTGAAGACCTTCGTATTCAACCGTGCCTACAGTCACCTACCCCTCCACCCCAGCTCGGGGTATTGTCAAGCGCTCTGGGATGCTACCATGCATGAGGGGCGCTATATAAATGCAAGTTGTTGTTGTTAAGTAAGTAATTAGGTGGGCAGGATGCATCCTTCGAGGAAGCGAGTGAGCATTCCCTGGTGCTAGGAGTCATTGAAATAAGGCTCGCGCCAATTTCAACCCTCCCTCCCCTGCCATCTGCTGTCAGAGGGGGCAGTAATATCAACGTTTCGAGTCCATGATCCTTCATCAGAGCGCCAGGAGTTCTGACGAAGGGTCATGGAACAAAAACGTTTACCCACTTTCCTTTCTCCATAGATGCTGCCTGACCTGCTGAGTGTTCCCAGCGACTTCTGTTTTGGTTTCAGATTTCCAGCATCTGCAGCATTTTGGTTTTATTGGGGCATTAATGTCTACGTCAGGGGGAAAATTCACGTCTGACATGAGGGGTGCATTGACATCTGACATCTGGGACGGGGTGGGGGGAGCTTTAACATCCCATGTCCTCCCTTGCCTCAGACTCCACGACCCTATCACCTCCACCCTCGCCTGACTCCATTGGCTCTCCATCACAGAGGATACAGTTCAAGACCTTGGTCCTCACTTTCAAAGCCCTCCATGGCCTCGCTCAACAACAATAAGATTGCATTTATAGAGCGTCTTTCACGTCGGGAGGACGTCCAAGGCGCTGGACAGTTGGGTCAGGAACCGAGCAGGGGGGAAATGGTCAGGGTGAGGGGAGGGAAGGGAGGGAGCGAGGAGGGGGTAGAGAGTCAAGAGGGGAGGTGAAGGCACGGTTGAAGAGGAAGGTCTTGAGACCGGCCTTGAAGGAGGAAAGGGAGGAAGCAGCCTTGGATGCTGATGCTGTCAGCGCCTGAGGTGCGGAGGCGCTGATGTGAGCCAATCAGGAGGGCCTTAGTTTTGCGCACGTTGAGCTGAAGAAAGTTGTCTCTCGTCCAGGACTCGATGTCGGACAGGCAGGCTGTCAGGACATCGGTGGTCGTGGAATTGAGGGTAGAGGAGGAAAGGTAGAGTTGGGTGTCATCCGAATACATGTGGACGTTAACCCCATGTCTGCGGATGATGTCACCACAGGGGGAGCATATAGAGGGTGAAGAGGAGGGGACCGAGGACAGAGCCCTGAGGGATGCCGCACGAGACAGTGCGGGGGCTGGAGGAAAAGCCGTTAGCGGAGACAAAATGAAGACGGTGGGAGAGGTAGGACCTAAACCACTCAAGGACAGGGCCTTGAAGGTTGAGGTGGGAGGACAAGCGGTGGAGGAGGATAGAGTGGTCGACCGTATCGAATGCGGCCGATAGGTCGAGGAGGACGAGGAGGCAGAGGGAGCCCTGGTCGCAGATGGTCAAGATGTCATTAGTGCCCTTGACCAGGGCGGTTTCCGTGCTATGGGCAGCACAGAAACCCAACTGGAGGGGTTCAAAAAGTGAACGGGTGGAGAGGAAAGAGCGCAGCTGGGAGGCGACGACTCTTTCGAGAACCTTGGACAGGAAGGGAAGGTTGGAGATGGGCCGGTAGCTTGATAGCTGTGACGCATCAAGGGAGGGTTTTTTTATTTTTAGAGTGATGGTGGCAGTTTTGAGGGGAATGGGAACAGAGCCAGAGGAGAGGGACAGGTTAATGGTGTCTGTGAGAAGTGGGGCAAGGAGGTGGAGCTGGGAGATAAGGAGTGGAGTGGGGATGGGTTTCAAGGACAGGATGAGGTTGGTGACAGAGGGTGGGGAAACGGGTTTGAAGATGTGTAAGGGAGGGTAGGAGTCGGAGTGTGGGAGGAAGGGGTGGGGGGTGGGTGGAAGTTGGAGGGGCAGTGACCGTGGAGTGGATTCCCTTGATTTTGGATTCAAGGAAATCCAGCATCTCCTCGCAGTGAAGGTTGGTGGAGATGACCTATGCGGGGTGGACGGAGGAGTCGGGATGTGGTGGAGAACAGAAGCCTGGGGTTCTTCTTCGCCTCCAGGATTATCCTGTAGTAGAAGGACGACTTGGCCGAGGCTAGAGTGGAGCGGTAGATTTTGAGGAGGTCCAGCCAGATTTGCCGGTGGACCGTTAGGCCAGATTTGAGGCAGGTGCGTTCAGCGGCCCGCACCTGGCTCTTCAGTGAGCGGAGGTGGGTGGTGAACCAGGGGGAGGAGCGAGAGTAAGAGACAGTACAGAAGGTGATGGGGGCAAGTGTCGAGTGTGGAGGAGAGGGTGTTGTAGAGGAGGGTGAGAGCAGAAGAGGGGTCAGTGAGGGATGAAGGCCAGAGGGAGAGTTCAGAGGACTCCAAGGCAGCGGTTAGAGAGTGTGGGAGTAACTTCTTCCAGGGGCGGTAGAAGATGGTGGTGGGTCTGGTGGAGGTGGGGAGGGGGTGAAGGTGGTGAAGGAGATGAAGTGGTGATCGGAGATGGCCTTATCGGTAATGGTGACATCCAAGACACTGAGGCCGGGGTGATCAGCAAATCGAGTGGGTGGCCGTGAACGTGAGTGGCGGAGTTGAAGTGAGGGAGAGGTTGAGCGAGGAGAGGAGGGAGGAGAAGTCCGAGGAGGTGGAGCAGGAGGGGGTGAAGTGCAGGTTGAAGTCGCCCAAAATGATGAGGCGATCAGAGCAGAGGCAGAGAGATGTTAGGAGGGTAGAAATGTCGGAGATGAAGGTGGGAGAGGTAGAGGAGGAGGATTTTGAGTGAGAGATGGGAGGGGTGGGAGAGGCTGAGGTGCTCGAAAGAGGGGAACGAGCCGGAGGAGTAGGGGGATAGGGCAAGTGGTGCCCTTGAGATAAGGGCTACACCACCGCCAGGGCGGTTGGGGCGAGGGATGTGGTGGGAGGTGTCGCCGGGTGGTGTGGCCTCCGTGAGGGGGAAGGTGTGGCCCGGGGTGAGCCGGGTTTCCGTTAAGGCCACGATGTCAACGCTCTCTCAAGCCGCTGTAGGGCAGGGGTCACGGTGCTGTGATTGTTGTTGTTGTTGTTTGTTGTTGTTGTTGTTGTTGATGATGATGTCAGAGAGGGGGGAGTGTGTGGCTTATGAACGATGTGACGTCAGAGAGGGGCATTAACCTCTGACGTCGGAGTGGGCGGAGGTCAGTGACGTCCGACGTCAAAGCGGAGTGGGGGGTGGAGGGAACGTGACGTGAGACGTCAGGAGCGAGGTGCTGGCCGGCTGGTTGGCGAGCGAGGCTGGAGCGGGCGGGCGGGATGAGCGCGAGGATCGGGGGTTGAGCGCGAGCGCGAGAGGAGAGCGCGAGCGAAGGAGGAAGAAAGAGGTCGCGAGTTGAGGGGGACTGAGGACAGAGCGCGCGCGCGAGCGGCGCCTCCTCCTCCTCCTCCTCTTCCCCCCCCCTCTCCCACCACCTGACAGACAGCCCACCCGCACGAGACACACACACACACACTCGCGCGCGCGCACACACACACGGAGAGAGAGAGCGAGAGAGCGCGCGATGAGCGTCCAGGGACCAACGGCCGCGGCGCCAACCGTCACCGAGGAACCGGGCGCCTCTGCCGCCGCCGCCGCCGCCGCCAGGAAGCGCCAGGCCAGCGTGGTGGATGAAGGAGCCATCCCGAAGCCGCAGCAGCACTCCAAGCAGCAGCAGCAGCCGCCGCAGCAGCTGATCAGCGTGGACGTGGCCGGCATCCTGCTGCAGTTCGCCAAGACTTTTGTCATCATCTTCCCGGTCTACGCGCTGGGCTACTTGGGCCTGAGCTTCAGCTGGGTGCTGGTCGGCCTCTTCTTCTTCTTCTGGTGGCAGAGGAACCGGGGCAACAAGCGCTCGCGCCTGTCCCGGGCACTGGCCTTCCTGGAGCATGAAGACACCTTCCGAGAGGAGATCAAGAGCTCGGACCTGCCGTCCTGGGTGAGTGAGTGAGGGAGGGAGAGGGGGAGGGGGGGAGAGAGGGAGAGGGAGTAGGCGTTGAGGTGTCGCTTTGCTGCTCTCTTATTACCACCGCCCCCACCCCAGGCTGCTCAGCACAGGAGAAGGGAACCTTTCAGCTGCCGCCAGGTGGGCCGCCGGTCCAGTGGTGGCTGTGTGGGTGGGTGGGTGTCTGGCTGTGTGTGTGAGTGGGTGGGTGGGGGGTGTGTGGCTGTGTGGGTGGGTGGGTGTCTGGCTGTGTGGGTGGGTGTCTGGCTGTGTGTGTGTGTGAGTGGGTGGGGGGGTGTGTGGCTGTGTGGGTGTGTGGGTGTCTGGGTGGGTGTCTGGCTGTGTGTGTGAGTGGGTGGGGGGGTGTGTGGCTGTGTGGGTGGGTGGGTGTCTGGGTGGGTGTCTGGCTGTGTGTGTGTGTGAGTGGGTGGGGGGGTGTGTGGCTGTGTGGGTGTCTGGCTGTGTGGGTGGGGGGGAAGTTCATGGCGGTGCCGGCGATTGTTAACTCGAGTTTCACCGTCAATCTGACATCTCACTAATTCACTCCTGTCTTTGATTGAGGGACTGACTGACTGACTGACTGCCTGAGGGACCGACTGGTTGAGTGACTCATAGAGTGAGAGACCAACTGATTGACCCGTTGAGTGAGGGACTGACTCACTCGTGGAGTGAGGGACTGACTCACTCGTCGAGCGAGGGTCTGACTGACCCGTCGAGCGAGGGTCTGACTGACCCGTCGAGCGAGGGTCTGACTGACCCGTCGAGCGAGGGACTGACGGTGATTTGATTCAGGATCGCTCCCCGGAGATACAGCCGTTCTGTGTGTCGTTCATTATCGGCGCAAAATGCCCGTCCGCTGCAGATGATCAGGAAGTGCAGGAGTTTGTTTTCGCAGTGCCTGAAGTGTTCCGAGAAAGCGTGTTCCTGCTCAAGGTGGACCAGTCCAGCCTTGTGCTATCAGCACTCAGCGCTCTCTTTGCTGTGGGTGTTGGAAAAGCAAACTTCGAACGCTGTAAATTTTTAGCTGTCGTACTGTACTCATTATACTTCCCACTTTTGCAGTGGGGCAGCATTCATTCATCCATTCATTCATCCATTCATTCATTCATTCATTTGCAATACACAGTACCGTATCTGTTTTTGCAGGAACATCAACTTGAACCACGCTCTCTGTTCTGCAAACCACGCTTGCCATGCGTTTGGCAGCTGGTTGGCAGGTTGCTGTGAAACGGATTCAACCCCTCCCCCCCCCCGAGGAGTGTCACAAATTGTAAAAGCCTCATTCTCGACGATTGCCTGTTGGTAGCTGAGCGTGGAGAGTCGACAGCTGAGAGCGTGTGAAAATTAGCACTGTCAGATTTCCACACCTCCTCGCCCCCCTCCTCCTAAACTTAAGGGCAGGTTTGGGGTGGAGCCAATGTCGACATCTGTTACACCGGTTTGTGCTCCTCAAAAGCTATCCTGGTGACCGGGTGATCGGATCACATATTGCAAAATGCAGCATTTGTGGTTCCGGCACTTCTGACGGTTCTCTGGAATGTTTTTATGGTGTCTGCAAGAATTAGGGTACTCTGACTACGATCTATTTAGATATTTGATAGAAGGTACTTTTTGAAATTCAAATGAGTGGCAGCAACTAACTTTTTCGATGTGTTTGTCTTGTGATTTTCACTGATCTGAATGTGACTGGAATAAAACCAATCTCTCATTTGTGACACTTTTATCAAACTGTTGCTTCTCGAAGCGCTTCGAATTTGAAATGTTTAAGTGACTGAACTGAAAATGGGTATTCAAAAAAAATTGTTCTTAAACTGGAGACTTAGTTTGTTTTGCTGCAGGACAAAATCCTCTGAAGCTGAAACAAAAAGATTCCATCTCTCTTTTGCGCTGAGTGCAGTATTGAACAAAAGCACAAGCTTCAAAATTAAGAAGGAATTTAAGGAATTTCCACAATTCTGTACACACTTACAATTTAAGAATTTGGTCTTAAGGCTAAGACCATGTGGAAAGTTCATACTTCACAGCAGAACCTAAAAATGCTCAATGATGATGCTCTTCCTTTAGTGATCTATTTTCCTAAAACGTGTTCTTTTAATGCTTTGAGGTTTCAGTATAGCTGACACTGCAGTGCTGGAGAATTATCAGATGAGTCATTAAACTGAGAATCCTGTCTAACTAATCAGATTTGACACTAAACATCCCATTTAACATCCAAAAAGAGAAGGGGATTTCTCTTTCTGCCCTGGCTAACAATCCCACAGATAAAATGGTCATTCACTTCATTGCTCTTTGAGGTACTTTGCTGTGTAAATTTGTAGGCAGTCGCATACAAAATACAGTCACTACACTTTACAATGAATTCTATTAAGTGTTTTGAGAATCATACCAATATCAAAGTCGCAACACAACATCAAATGCAAGGATTATTGTTAGACTGGATGGTGCATTATAATAATAATCCTTGCATTTAAGATATCATGTCTTTGAGACATCTCAAAGCACTTCACAGAATATACTGTGAAGTGCAAACACACAATCACTATACTAAACAGGAATTATCCATGAAACACTATGAGATGTTTTGACATTTTGGCCCTTGGCATCAAATGTAAGGATTATTTATAATAATAATCCTTGCATTTGGTATTGTGCATCATCATGTCAAAATGTCTCAAAATGCACTGGACAGTCAGGGATTTGGATCCGAGCAGCAGGTTGGGATCAGGAGGGGTGGAGGGCATCAGGACTGTATTGGAGTGTCAGCCGAAAATATGGGTTCAAAGTTTTGTCGCGGGGCTTGAACCCACAAACTTCTCAGAGGCTCAGCTACGAACTGAGACAGGACGACACAATATTTTATAATAGGATTCTAGTTTATAAATCACGAGTTCTGATTGAGTGAGAGTCTGGTTGTGATACCCACAGTTGGTAAATAATGCAGATGAAATTCCAAAGAAAGGGTATATAAAGTGTTGCTGTATGTTGCTGCGTCACTTATGGTAGTAATAACAACAAAAATAACCTTTACATTTAATATAACCCCTTTTCCATCGGAGGACGTACCAAATACTCATCCGTAATCTTGCACTCTTCACCAGCTAGGTTAGAAATGCTGCACAGTTGTAGTTCATACAAGTGACGTGGACAAAGGGTCTACTCTGTAGTTATAATAAAATCCACATCAGTGCTATTGTGAAGTATTGTGCAGATGTTTTGGACATCTCTGCAGTTGGGAGATAATCAGATTCAGAGTAACTGAGCGATATCACAAATGTCAAGTTATTACAAATGTCTCGTTCCTGATGCCACCAGGAAATGCATAAGTGGTCAGTGAGCTGTGGAAGTTTGGCATCTTGGATGATAGAAAAGTTTATAAGATGCAACTGAAAAGCTCTTCTGAGGAGATATTAACATGGCTTAATCCACATTTTTGGCAATTTGTCTCATTATGTTTGCTTAATTTCCACAAGCAGAGTATTCAGCCTTCCCTGCCAGGGCTGCTGTTATTTGGGCACACTTACATTTGTAAATGTCACCAGCTAGTTCATGTGAGTGACCTGGACAAAGGGTTTATTCTGTAGTCATAATAAAATCCACATCAATGCTGTATGTCCTATTTCTCATACTGGGCTCGATTGAGTCTCAGTGCACCTTATTGTGTTTGCTATTGCCTTGAGCTGGAAAGGGTTAGGCTGTGCTATAATTGTTATCGCATTACTATAACATTGTAAAAGAGTAACCCGGCCATCGACTTGTATGCTTTCAGCCATTCTCCCCACTTCTGTCTTTGGACTGCATCCCGATTCCCTCCTTACTTCATAGAATCATAGTATTATACAGCACAGAAGGAGGCCATTCGGCTCATTGTGCCCGTGCCAGCTATTTAAAGAGCTATCCAAATTAATCTCAATCCCCCGTTCTCTCGCCATAGCCTTGCAAATTTGTCCTCCCCAAATATCTATCCACTTCTCTCTTGAAAGTTGTTCCCGATGTGAAAGACGCTACACAAATGTAATTTTGTTGTTATTGTTGCTGTTATCAAATCTGCTTCCACCACTCTTTCAGGTAATGCATTCCAGATTTGAAAATTCACTGTCTGAAAAATTTCTCCTCATCTCCTCTCTGGTTCTTTTGACCACTCTCTTAAATCTGTGTCCCCTGGTTACCAACCCCCCGCCAGTGGAAACAGTTTCTCCCTATTCACTTTATCAAAACCTTTCATAATTTTGAACACCTCTATTGAATCTCCCCTTAACCATTTCTCCTACAAGGAGAACAATCCCAGCTTCTCTCGTCTCCACATAACTGAAGTCCCTCATTCCTGGTACCATCCTGATGAACCTCCTTTGCACCATCTCCAAGACCTTGACACCCTTTCTAAAGTGTGGTGCCCAGAATTGAACATAGTACTGTAGCTGAGACCTAACTAGTCTTTTATAAAGGTTCATCATAACCTCCTTATTTTTATATTCTATGCCCCTATTTATAAAGCCAAGGATCCTGTATGTTTTTTAACAGCTTTATCTATCTGTCTTGCCACCTTCAAAGATTTGCTTATCTCTGCTGCTGTACCCCCTTTAAGATTGTACCATCTAGCTTTCATTGCCTCGTCTCATTCTTCCTCTCAAAATGCATCACTTTGCATTTCTCCGCATTAACTTAATCTGCCATGTTTCTACCCATTTCACCAGTCTGTCTTAAGTCTTCCTGCAGTCTGCTACTATTTTCCTCACAGTTTACTACTTTTCCTAGCTTTGTATCATCTGCAAACTTTGAAATTGTGCTCCCTACACCCAGTTCCAGGTCATTTATATAGATTAAAAAGAGCAGTGGTCCTAATACCGAACCCTGGGGGACACCACCAGTCAAAAAACAACCGTTCACCACTACTCTCTGCTTTCTGTCTCCCAGACAATTCTGTATCCATGCTGCCACTGTCCCTTTAATATCATGTGCTTCAATTTTGATAACAAGTCTATTATGTGGCACTTTAT